GATTTCTAGTCCCGCCTTAGGCACAAAAGCTGATTGAGTGACTTTGGACCAATCACCAGGGGATGGTGAGTCCTAGTCCCGCCTTAGGCATGAAAGCCAAGTGGCTGGCCTTGGGCCAGTCTCTCTTAGCGTAGCCACCCCATATCACAGGGTTGTTGTTGGGAAAATAAGAGGAGGAACTTGTGCTGGATATGTTTGCTGCCTTGAGAAATGTGTAAAAATGATAAAAGTGGGATACGACTAAATAAAAATAAATATAAATGTTATGCAAAGGATTGGCTCTCTGGAAAAAGCTGGATGCTGGGAAAGACGGCAGGAAAGAGAAGGAATGGACAGCGTGGAGGATGGAGCTCATCATAGCAGTGATGGGACATGGAGAGAACTTACAGCAGGTCCAACAATGATCAGGTGTACCCTGGAGTCTTCCCGATGCCACTCTGTCAAATGAACAGGAGAGAACGCTAAGTTAGACCAGAGCCAGTTCTGACCGGTTCTGGAGAACCGGTAGCAGAAATTTTGAGTAGTTTGGAGAACTCGCTAATCTCCCCTCTGACAGGCCCCTCCCCCATCTCTTCTCTGCCTCCCATTGAATCCCAGCTGATCGGCTGGCTCTCCTTTGGTTGCCCTGCACAGGAGTATGGAACTGGAAAGCAGGTTAGTGGGGTGGGGAGGGAAGGGGGATTTGGCAGTATATCCTTCCCCTGCCACGCCCACCAAGCCATGCCCACAGAACCACTAGCAAAAAATTTTTGAATCCCACCACTTAAGACTAAAATTAATGTGAGATTAAAGCATGAATAACGTGGACTAAACAATAACTGGGGGGCGGGGGGGGGGCTTGATGGTGCCGGGTGAAGCAGTTGCAAGTTGTTATTTTAGTCCAGTCGAGATGAGGAGAAGCAGGAGATGTCTACAGAAACACTGGACCCAAATGGTGAACGATTGTGTTCCCAAGAAGGAACATTTTTTGAACATTTCAACCAGCCGTCGGTTATCTCTTAGCTTCCCCCAGCACCCCAAATTCGAGCAATTCCTCAACTAAATCTCCCCTGACCAACCAGTTAAGAGTTATACCTACTTTGATTTGCTACACCAACATAAGATCAATCTAAGAGCCTCGAAGAGCCCTGTTTGGTGTCTTAAGTGTTTGGGGTCCAGAGTCACTTGCTTAAGATGGACAACTCCAGGAACTGAATAAACGAAAGAATGAATCTGGAGAATTCCGATTTGTCTGGCGAGCAAATGGACCATACAACCAATGATATTAATTTTAATTGAATGTGATCCATTAAAGAGTTAGGCCAATGATGAGGGTTGGTGCCCCGTCATCTCCTTGAGCTGTCCCTTCAACACAATGTTCACTCTGTCTTATATAAAATCATTCATTAACCAAGAATCCTGTGTATTCTCGGTCCTCAAAGAAAAGTGGCTCAATTAATTTTTTTAAAATCAATCGATTAAATTTATTTTGCTGCCCGGTTCACTGATACAGCAACTCTGAGAGGCTCTTAGTTCCATAGCACCAAGTGGAGTTGTAAAAATGGTAAATTCACCTCCCCAAGCGTTCTTATGAAACACACACACACACACACACACACAAATTAGAAAAATTTAGAAGTTAGAAAACTGAAACTCTGGTCAGATGGACACAACAGCCGTATCCATCAGGTTCCAGGCCTCCCTGCCTCCTCAAATTATGCCTCCCAGTCATCCAAAAAGACGGGCATTTTGGGGTGATGGGGTGTCATCCATCCATGCCAAATGTAAATGTAAAAGAAGTTGGATGGGAAAATGTTGACCTGAAAAAACATCCAGTAGATAAAGTGGATCTTTGACTCTCCTTACTCCACAGATCAACAGGAAGATGTATAGAGACTGGCCGTCCTGTGCAATCCCTGTCGAGAAAGGATGAATAAAACTTTTTTTAAATTTCAAAGGATTAGAAGCTCTTGGAAAATTAAGAAGGCCAAGAACCCGTCCAATCAACACTCCAACCACCTGAGAATTTGCAAGTTGTGGATTCCAACCCGACACCCTTCCCTCTTATTAGGAGCCGTGGTGGCTCGATGGTTAGAATGCAGTATTGCAGGCTAATTCTGCCGGCTGCCAGCAGTTCAATTTTAATAGGCTCAAGGTTGACCCAGTCTTCCATCCTTCTGAAGTCGGTAAAATGAGGATCCGCACTGAGGAAAAGAGACTGACTCTATAAACTGCTTAGAGAGGGCTGCAAAGTACTGTGAAGCAGTATATATGTCTAAGTGCTATTGCTCTTCCTTTCCTTTCCTTTCCTTTCCTTTCCTTTCCTTTCCTTTCCTTTCCCTTCCTTCCTTCCTTCCTTCCTTCCTTCCTTCCTTCCTTTCCTTTCCTTTCCTTTCCTTTCCTTTCCTTTCCTTCCTTCCTTTCATCCATCCATGTTGGTGCAGTGATTAGAATGCAGTATTGCAGGCTAATTCTATCCACTGCCAAGAGTTCAATTCTCACCGGCTCCAGGTTGACTCAGCCTTCCATCCTTCCGAGTTGGGTAAAATGAGGACTAAGATTGTTGGGGGCAAGAGGCTGACTCTGTAAACCACTTACAGAGGGCTGTAAAAAGCACCGTGAAGCAATATATATAAGGCTAAGTGCTATTGCTAAGTGCTATTAATCAACTGAAATTCGCTTTTTTACGTTTGCTCTCTCTTTCCATTGCTTTTCAAAACCATCTTTGGCTAGAATCCGAGGGCTGGAAGAAGACAACATTGGAGGTCTTCTAGTCCAACCCAGGGCAGGAGCCCTTAGACCATTCACATCCTGGAGAACTGGTCCATCTTGGAAAAAAGGCTACGGACCTCCAGGTGATGGTTGTCTCAAACGGGCTTTTTCAAGAGGCAACTGGTTTTTCTGGCTTTATTCCTTGAAAACATTTCACACCTTGGAAAAGTGGGGCGGGGGAGCTTTTTGGATGAGAAGCAGAACTTTTTCAAGGAAAAAAAAACCCCAAAAAAGTCCATAGCTTTCTTAGTCTATGACTTGGTCTCAGTCATCCAGGTCATGGTTGTCCCCAAAGTGCTTTTTCAAAGAGACTCAACGAGGCTTGGAGAGTCCCAACAGAAGCCAAGAAATTTTGCCACCTTTCCGGAGGAAGCAAAAGTGTTTTAAAAAGCTAGGAGGAGGTTGATGCTTCCTCAAGATTGGAATGAGAAGAACAGAAATGGGTGTTGGGATTCCGGCAGCGACCCCCATTTCAATCACGAGTCCTTACCCGGATTTTCAAATTTTAAAGATGATTTATTAGGAGTAAACATACTGGTGCTGCCTGGGTGTAGCTGAGGACTCTGAGACCCGTCATTCATTGTCACCCTTGACCCTGGTTTTCTCTCCACCCCTCTGGGTGTATCGTAATTCACATTCTCCAACGGGACACATCCATAGCCCAGAGTCATCAATCATACTCTCCAGTTAGAATTTTGCAGGCAGAAACTTCGGCCACCTAGTTACTATCTTTGAAAACATTTGTGGAATGCAGTTTCGATTTTGCAAGCTGCTGCACTGCTGCCCCCTTCTCCCCTTTTCTGTTGCCAACTCTAAAAAGACCAGAGAAATATTTTATGAGTTGACGTTGGGTTTTAACAGCTAAATGCAGGAATGGGATTTTTTTTTTTTAGTCTCCTTCCTACAGAAGAATGGTGGCATCGGCGAGGGCAGAAGGACCAGCTCAGATTAACCAGTTGAACCTGCCTCAAAGTCTAACCTGTCACCAGAATTTCTGCTGTACAGGGAGTCCTCGATTTACAACTGGTTCACTCAGCGACCATTTGGAGTTATGACCCACCTGGAAAAAGGGGGTTTATAAACCCAGATCTGAACTTCCAGCAGTCCCTCCTCCCTTCCCTCCTCCCCACAGTCATGTGACCGCACTTATGGTACTCCATACAACCACACTTATGTCGATCTGGAGATTTCCCACGGTCACGTGAGTGAATTTGCCAAAAGGTTTTGCTAAAACTTTTCAATTACTTCCAGTTTACTGCTCCCATACTCATCAATGGCTTCGCACTTTCAACCACTGTGCTCGCTTAAGGACGGAAACCAGAGGTGGTATTCAGCTGATTCTGACCAGTTCTGGAGAACCGGTAGTGGGAATTTGGAGTAGTTCAGAGAACTGGTCAATAGCACCTCTGACTGGCCCCGCCAACCCCATCTGTTCTCTGCCTCCCATTGAGTCCCAGCTAAACACCTGGGTCTTCTTTGGTTGCCCTGCACAGGAGAATGGAGCTGGAAAGCAGGTTAGTGGGATGGGGAGGGAATGGGGATTTTGCAGTATCCTTCCCCTGCCACGCCCGCCAAACCACTCCCACCAAACTACGTCCACAGAACCGGTAGTAAAATTTTTTGAATCCCACCACTGTGACACTGACAGGCACATTTGCTTTATGACCGTTGCATTCACTTAATGACCACCACAAACAAAAAAAGGTCTTCAATCCATTGTCGATCATGCGTTGTGACCTGTTAACAATTTACAACCGTAGCAGCCAGGCTTAATACAGTTGTAATTTGAGGACTACAGAACACCTGAAGGTTACCAAAATAAGGCTGGCAAGTTCCAGCTTTAGGGATGTCTCCATCCAGACTACAAGTAATTCAGGGGATATTTTTTAATTTTTGCAAAAAGAACTGAACTGGAAAAGATACGACCATCCTGTCTGTTTTTATCCCCTCTCTCTCTTTCTCTCTCTCTCTCTCTCTCCCTGCAGTGACCTTTTAAATAAGAAAAAAAAGGAAAAATGGAAAAGCTTCAGTCGTAGTTTCCCCTGTCCACCACTTCATTTTTTTAAAAAAAAAACCTCTGCAACCCCTTTCAAGATTGGTATAAAACAAGGGGGCTGATCAGTAACCTAAAACCAGTGCCAATGCCATCTGATTATCTGTCCTAAATATCACTGGGGGCAGAGCAGAGTCCAGGTTTGTAATATTGCTTTTATTAAAACCCAATCCGGAGAGAGAGAGAGAGAAAGAGGAGAGAGATAGAGGGAGAGAGGAGAGAGAAAGAGGAGAGAAGGAGAAAGAGGAAGA